TTTGGTGTAAAAAATCACGGTGGTCCCATTCCAATTGCTGGCGATTGCTTCAAACAATGAGATGTTGACAGGAAGTCTGGTGGAGAACTTCTGGGAAAAGTAGCATCATAGGTCTCAAAGAAGAAATAATGCCTTTTCTGCCTCTGGGCAACCACTAGTGTGCAAGGATGCAATGCAACATCGTATGACCCTGTGAGGAGCTAGCCAAGCAGTGAGGCTGGCTGTGAGCAGGACCATGGAAATAACCTGAGTAATTTATGAACTGAGACATTAACCTGCCCTCAGGACTGATTTTATGTAATGAGACAATAGATTTCCTTATTATTTAAGCCACTTTGAATTGAATTTTCTGTTTCTTGGAGCCCAAAGCATCCTAAATGATACAATACCTCTTTGGAGAAGCAAGAAGAAGGCTCTGCCTCTCCAACAACGCCCTAGCAACAAAGGAATAGCTGCTTCAAAAAAGAAAAGAGACTAAGATTTATTTCTCAATACATGTTTTGAGAAAACCAGCTGTGAAAAAGTACCTTTAATAGCCACTCCTGATGTACAGAGAGTCTTCTGAAATCCTCCTGAGCAGCATAAACACTGTAATAAAGTTACAGTGAGCTACTATGAATGGTATGTGTGTGAATATACAACACACTTGGAATCATCATAATACTTGGAGTCATCATAATATATAAACATTAGGGAACTACCATGAAATTAGTCTTTATTACTCATCTACTCTTATTTCCTTCTATAATTTTAAGATCAGGAAGTGTCCCCCCTCCCCACTCCCCACCTGCCTTCTACCTGATAAAAACACAGAATCACACGATTGGAAGAGAACTAAAAAAACTGAAGTTCAAAAGGTTGAATGATTTCCACAGGGTTCCACAACTAGCTGGGGACAATTTTCTCTACTAATAAAAATGCTTTATGCATGATTTTAAAAGAGTCATTTGCTGAGCACCCAATTTAAAGCAAAGTCGGATTATAAAGACACGGGAAATCAAAAACAAGGTTTTTAAAAAGTAATTTAATTGTGAAAATAAAATCTCCTTTTTGAACTCACTACATTGAACTTCTTCTTCCTATTTCTAATACCCTCTTAAATCCCAACCCATTCTTCTCAATACCATTTCTCTCTCCTAGAAAATCCTTGCATATGGCCCATTCTCAAAAGACTGCCTGTATCCTAATAACCTGGGAAATAAACCAGAAGTGCAGATTTCCAGGCAGAGTCGATTTAGTGGACCAGCAATGTCAATGTAAACGAGCCCCCCAGGTGAGTCTAACTGTGCTCTGAGGCACATGATTCCAGAGAGTATACTAGATTCCAGGATCCAAGTAGAAAACTTCTAATTATCATAGTAGATTTGAGCTGGAACAACAAAAATATATGCATAGTTGCCTATAATTTTCATGTTCCCTCTGAGGTCTGAAACAAACCCAAGAGCTCTGTGATTTGGATGTACCCTGGTAATCATATCTGCTTGGAGGTTTGAAGTTTTTAGCCCTTCCCCTTAAGACTTTCTTTCCCTCTGAACACATTTCTACTTGGGATTAAGTTTAAAATGTCTTAACACTCCCTCTACAGCTAAAGGAAATCAATTTTGGAAAGTGTTTCAAAAGACTACTTTAAAAAATACACAATACAAAATTTTCTCTTTGAACCAGATGACTGTGATGCATAGGGCAAACACGGTAGGTAATGAGAGAAGTAAACACTGGGTTTTCCAGAAGAACTAGCCCTGAAACCAAAACCTGGAAAGGAAGCTGACCATTAAGTAAGTGAACCAGAGGGACAATAGCTTAGGCATATCCTAGGGTAAGTCTGAGCCCGAGAAAACTAGAATGAAACAGACAAACCCCTTGTCCCAAGCTAACTTTCCCTTACTGCTTCATTTTAAAATAGGACAGTGCTGAAAATGAGAATACAGAGTTTAAGTGAAATTTTAGAACTCCTCTGGGCACCAAAAAAATTTTTTAGATCTAAATAAATACTCCTTACTGGATTCAGCAGTGCTCATTTATACTTATATCATCTAAGACATTTTAAATCTAGAGGCTCCAGAGACCAAGAATACAGTATGCTGAGAACCTGAGTCTATGTATTCCAACATCAGCTCTGACAGACCCACATTAGACATAAGAGCTGGTCTATATGTAAATGTCTTAATGGTTAAATGAACAAATAAATGCCATATAACTTCATAGAACCAAAATCAACGTTAAGTATCAAAGATAATGTATAATGCTTCAGAAATGCTATAAAACAAGTAACTCCAGCAACAAAATCTGTTGAAATTCCTTAGAAGGCAAAAAAGTCAAAGTCACAGCCGTAATTTGCATATTCCAATTGTATGTCTCCTTGGATTGGGGTTGAGAAAGCAGAGAGTGGAACAAGACGGAGAAAGAGAACCATCCACCATGAGATGAACAGGTTCAACTATTCAAGATCTACATTAAGTGTTGTTTTTTTTTTCGGGGGGGGGGGGGCGCGGGGATTTTTTTCTTCTTTAAACTTTCCTAATAATCCTCAAGGCATTTTAAAAATAGAAAAACGCAGTTATGGTTCTGCTGAATCGCCATTCACTCTGGGACTCTATCAGTGCAATTAAGTTTTTATCACAACTGCACAGTGGCAATGCCTGGCTGGAGTATGTATCTGAAACTTCCTGTTTTGGCGCAGGCCCTTCAAGTAGGCAAAGGTTTGCAACTAAGGTCTAAACCAGTTTTTCTGTTTAACAAATACCTGATTGGGTTGTATGGAACAGGCACCAAACCATCATCTGAATACCTAGGGTTGCTTTTTAAATCCAGTAACCATTATTTTAAACATACTTCATCAGGATTCTTTGACATTTGGGGGGCACTCTCCTTGTAAGTTTCCATGTTCTCTGTTATGCTTTGTTTCTGAATATGCATAAGTTGGGTTCCCAGACATAATATCACGATGGGGGCAGGGTCCGCCACACCACCAAACAATTCTCGGGATACCAGCAGGGTGTTCGAGAATTCAACTCAGTTCTGATACTATCTTCTGGGAGACAGCATTAGATTTCACAGGTTAAAGGTTTAGTCCTACAAGACTGCCACACACACACACACACACACACACACACACACACACACACACTTCAGACACCAGATGCAAGCCCAGATTACCTGTGCTTTTGACCAACTGGTCACAGATTAGAAGTTCCAATGATCCTCCCCCACAACTCAGAGTCCCAATCCCAAATCCAGGCTATCACCTATACTTCTACCTATATATTAGAAGTTCCCAAAATATCCTTCTTGGGTTCTATTAATTTGCTAGAACAGCTCATAGAATTCAGGGAACCATGTTACTTACTAGATCACTGGTTTACTGTAAAAAGATAACTCAAAACAGCCAAATGGAAGAGATACATGTGGACAAAGTATATGAGAAGGGGTGCAGAGCTTCCATGGTCTTTCCAGAAAGGCCACTCTCCTATCACCTCCACATGTTCACTAACCTGGAAGCTCTCTGAAACCCAGCCTCTTGGATTTGTATGAAGGCTTTGTTACATAGCCATGATTGATTGAATCATTGGCCATTAGCCATTAATTCAACCTCCGGCCTTTCTTCCTTCCCCAGAGGTCATGGGGAATGCATGACTAAAAGTTCCAACCCTCTAATCACATGGTTGCTTCCACTGGCCCCATCCTTAGGGGCTTTAACATAACAAAAGACTCCCCTCCAATACTTAGGAAATTCCAAGAGTTCAGGAAGCTCTGAGCCAGGAATTGTGGATAATGACCAAATAAATATGTGAAATGCATTTTGGTCACTTGAATGACCAAATATATATTTCTTATAAATCACAATTATGCAGTTCTGATATGGCATGGCAGGAAAAAAAAAAAAACTGACCAATGAAGAAGCAACTCTTGACACTGCCTAATTGCAAATCACTCTTGTTTCTTCATAATTAGGCCTATGGAAATCTTTATGGCAACATACATACTCTCTCTCCAAAAGGTAATATCAAGTGCTTGGTAGAAATATGAAAAGATGCCATCATAAACGCCCTTAGCAGAGCATCAACTTATCCCAAAGAAATGACTTAATAGAATGAACAAAGTGTGGGAAAGGGACAAATTACAACACATCAGTTCAATAGAATGTAGGACTTGACTATTTAGGTTAATTGTTATACTTTGTCCTTTCTTATGCTCTAGTCTCCAATCAAAAACATTCATCAAAGTTGACGGAATGTTAGAACATGCACACATGTAGTTACTGATACAACTAAGGAAGTCAGTAAGGCCATTCCGAAAAGAGCCGAGCAGCAGTAAACACACAAAAATTCAAAACCACTGCAAGGGTATAAATATTCCTAGCAGGAAAATCGGACCCCCACTGAATGCTTTGATTATCTCAGAGGGCAAGTGGGCATTTGCCAAAAGTAATTCCTTCTTCTCTATACTTCTTCAAAGGCTTTAATACATGTAACTTTAAAAATCAATGGTATTGTAGATAAAAGAGAGCCTACTATCCATATTTCACAGATGAGGAAACAAAGAATTGAGGTTGGTGGCTTGTCCACAGCAGGTTAAGTGGCTTGTTAAGAACAGAATCAACTCTAGAATCCAGGCCTCTTTGCTACAAATCCGAGCTCTGTATACCCACAACATACTCCTGTTTGCCCTTGACTGCCGCAAGAACATATAACTCCTGAAAACTCTGCTTAGTGACCTGGTATCATGGATGATATATTCCTATTTGCCCTTGATCCACACGTGCAAAAATCCCCTGAAAACTCTGCCTGGTGGCTTGGTCACATGGCCACTCCCCCAGACCACTGGCATTTGTCACCGTTACCCGCTGCAGTTAACATTTCACACATTTCTTTCCTAAGCCTCCAGCATACCTGATGCAAGAGTGGGAGAGGCTAATATAAGCAAAACTGAGACCAGCTTTAGTGCTAAGAAAAGAACTTTCCAGAGATGAGAAAAGAGCCAGCAATCAGTTTTAAACCTACTTTGCCAAGTGGTTCATGAGCAGCTGTAACATCTGCCTATTTTTCTCTGGGAGCCGATGAACAAGGCTGTGGATTTCAGAGACCCGAGACTCCTGGTTCTCCAGTTCTGCAAAGGTAGAAGGGGGGTTATATTTGATCAGTTTCACAGCTAAATCAGTTTACAAGACAAAAATCAAAGGAAACCAAAGGTTGGACACTAACAAGACGGATTTCTCAGAGGTTTAAGATCCTGTTCTGTGTACCCATGACTAGAATGTCTAGATCTAGAAGCGCTTTTTAATGCTGCTTTCTGTAACAGAGGTCATTTTTTAAAAAGAGGCTGTCAAAAACTCAAGCCAAAATGATGACATGGTGAAATGGAGCCAGTCGGCTGCATACCCAAAACAGGAACTAACTTGGGAGCAGCTGGCTCCCTAGAGTGACGGCTTCATTTCAAGGAAAGAAGGAACTTTATGCACTCGTCGAGTGATAAACAAATCGCATATGAACAACATTGCATGGGTCTCAAATATCAAAATAACATCTCAAGACAGTATCAAAGAAATCGAAGGCAATGCCCAGTTATTCTCAAACTATGTGTGACAGCCAGCCTGGTATAGAAGAAAAGAATGGCACATAAAATATGTAAATCTTTCTGCCAACCTGTAACCTAAATCATGGCCTGTCATGTTCTCTTGGTTGAACCTGGGTGAGTGACTACGTTTGTCTGGGAAATAGAATGATGGTACTCACCACACCTATTTATAGGACTGATGTGAGGTTTAATTAGAGAATGGTTGCTATGGGTTTGGAATTTCTCTGAGAAAGGAATCACATAAACACTTCGCCCCTAGGTTTCCTCCATGTCTTTCTCCTTGTTTTAAGAGGACAACTATAAGTAGATAAGGCCATCAGAATATTAGTTGTTACTAAATTAGGCTAGTAGTAACTACCAGGGTAAACAAACTCTGAAGGCTTAAAGGGAGCAGGGAGAGGCACAGGCTATTAGCATAATAGCACTGTGGGGTTTCATGCCAGATTTAAATCTGATAAAGAATCTACTGCACCTACAGGAGGCCTGCCCCACGTAGACAGATTCTAGTATACTTAGGGTAGCCTGCACCTAATCCCTATGTATTTTAAGACCTGTAATATGACGCTAAGGACCTAGATGGTACAGACAAAGAATGATCAGAGGCTGTAAACGAAAGCCATGATAGAAAGCAGACCTGGAAGTTATATAAATGGTGTTGCTTTCAGGAAAACACTTCCAATGCTCAATTTAGGTAATGTGTAAAATTTGATTCATTCCACAAAATGCTACTTAAGGGTGGGGAAAAACGCAAGGAATTAGAACTGCAATAATCAAAATAAGAAAGGCAAACTTGCTTTTCTCTCTTCTTCCCACCTGCAGAAACACACTTCTGAAGTGTCTCTCCTCTACTGTAAATTTATTGTGGTAGCAAGGCAGTCCTGACTTGGTTTCATTTTTATTCTGTGTCAGTCTCATGAGCGTGCATATGTAGGTAGTTAACAAACAGAACATGAAGGATTAGATAATATTTACTTCTGGATACTGACTGTTCTTTGAAACAGAAAAATCTATTCTCTCTCCCCTTAAAACTGTGACAAAAAGAAAATTTACTTGCTGCTTTGATGAAACTTCTTTGAAACTGGTACATCATAAGTGGTCCTGGAAGCATTCTGGAATAAAAAGATGTACACTAGTCAGCTTAATAAAAACAATCATATTCTTTCTAAATAGCAGCAGCCTAGAGACGGCCAAACTGTATTACATTTCTCAAAGGCAAAGATCAGAGGGAAACAAGGCAACTTGACTTAGTCCAACTTAGTTTCCCTTTTGAAAGGCCCTGAGATTTCACCTGAAATTTTCATTCTCCCTCCATTTTAAGGGAATGCATACAACTGTGTTTCATAGTCACAACTAGAAAAACACTAATACAACAGTCTGGCACAAACCAAGAGTTTCCCTTCTCAGTCAGTGACTCACCCATCAACAAGAGCATTCTAAGATATGTCTGAAAAACAAGCAACTACCTAAACATTTGCAAACTCTTGTCTTCCCAGCACCTTGTTATTAGAATCAGTTCATCTGTGAGTACTCTGAGAGACTTTTGTAGGTGTTTTTCTGGCGAATTCACTATGGAGTGCTGCTCAAGAATGCCAAGGGACTAGAACCCCTAACATTAAGCATGATACAACCAAATTTTACCTGCTATTTTTTAAAAATACGTTTTACAAATTTATATACACAGACAACAGAAGGGTGGTTATCAGAGGACATGGGGACCGGGAGGAGGATGAAGAGGGTAAAGGGGATCAAATACACAGTGATGGAGGGAGACTAGACTTTTAATGATAAGCACACAGTGCAATATGCAGATGATGTACTATGGAACTGTACATTTGAAACTTACATAACGTTATTAACCAATGTCACCTCAATAAATTTAATAAAAAATATGTTCTATACCTACTATTTCTTAGGAAATCAGTATCACCATGTGAAAAGAAGTGCTAAATGCAAATCTCTATAATGTGGTTTTATGTAAAGTTCAATGATAGTATTTGAGTTACGAATATTTAATGAATACGTTAAACTTTAAACTTCAGGTTTTTCTGATAGTCCAAATAATAGGCTTCTCAACAGACTATACATTATTCTTGGCTTAGGTTTTATCTTATTCTCAGGATTCCTTAAGTCAACTCTTAGTCATCCCTTGCATTACATCTTATCCTTGACTTCAAGACTCTTCCATCCCCAATAGCCAATGAAACCGGCATCACCAATTCTTTTTCCTCCTTTGCTTTTGAGCCAAGAGAACCTTCATAGAATCTCTACAAAAGCTAATCCACTCATGATGATAGTTCTCCACTTTGTGTAAGACTAGATCTCCCCCACTTTCCTGTGCAAGAACCACAGTAAAGAGCTGTAATGTTCCTACCCTTCAAGTCCAGCATAAATTTCAATCTATTCATGAAACTGAGAGGTGGGCAGCTAGTCATTTGCTACTCCCTTAATGACAGAAGGAGGGGTAGGGAGGCAGCAGTAATATCACATACATTATTAGAGAAAAATAATCTCTTTTGCAGTAAAGTGATATTTTCTAATCTAAGCAGAGTCAAAAAGGAGTTCCATTAAGTTCTCATTGTTAAGGACCAACGTCAACAATGTATGCTATCTGCAATGCATAAAACTATCAAAATATATAGGGTATGTAATCACACATTCGCGACAGAATGGGATATGTGATTCCTTGTTTTCTTAACACAGTATTCAGGGATTTCAGGGAATACCATATTTTAGGTTTTGTTAAAGACTAATTGTCATAATAGCTTCTTCTAAAGACCAAAGTTGCCTAAATCACTCATGGCACTACTGCACAATGGCAACCCATCAACTATGGATGATTTACAATCTGAATGACCAGCTGAGCTAAGTGCACCCACACATAGCTGTTTCCATATCTCAAACGCCCACCCAACAGCTCTCTGGAGGCTGAAAAGAAAAACTGCTTTCTTCCTGACTGCCTGATTACGAGCTGGCACTCCGCCATGCAAATGGAAAGTCCCTACCTTAGGTAGGTCTTCAAAGCACTAGTGATGGTCTTGATCTCCCATTCTGCACAGATATCTGTTTCTGTTTCAGAAGCTGTTTTGGGGTCTAAAAGAAAAGACAATGTGTAAAGCAGAGCAGAAAATACAGCTAAAAAACAAGCATACATAAAAGCATTCAGCCTCACTACTAAGCAAAGAAATTTAAATTAAAACAAAAATGACTCCTATCTTTTGCCTATTAAATTAGAAAAATGTGTAAAAATCCACATATCTATTACTGGCAAAAATGCAGTGAAACTGATCCTTTTGTAATCTGCTGGAGGCAAAAAGGATAAATGCAGCAGTTTTGAAAAGCGATTTGGCAATACGTATCAAAGTCATAAAGATGTTTATACCCTTTGAACTGATAATCCCACTTCACACAATCTATCCTCAGGAAATAAGATAAAGCATGAGAAAAGTTACATATCCCCAAAATGTTCAACACACACTATTTTCTATAACAGTAGGAAAAAAATTTAAAGAGAGACCACCTAAATGTCCAATGATAGAAAAATGATTATGGTACGTTTATTTGATAAAATATTATGTTGCCTTTACATGATAATGATGGCTATCTAGCAATATGTGAAATGCCTGGATTGTCATGTAATCAAAAAATCATGTAACAAAAAAAAAAGCCCTCAAGATTTAAATGTTTGTGAGAAACTCATATGAACAAAGGCTTAAAGGAAATACTCTAAAATTAAAATAATGCTTGTATTAGAGTGGTAGAATTATGGTTTCCATATTTTCTAAATTATGACTTCATTCCATTACTTTTATTGCTGGCAAGGCAGTTGAAAATGGAGTCTTTCAGTAAATTGAAGGGAGAATCCAGTTTCCTCATAGTAAATACTAGTGATTTACCTCTCAGTTCCCATTCCCTTTTGTTTCTGCTCAGAGCCTCATTTACAGTTGGGCTGCTACCCTTTTCTTACACCTACTCCAAGTGCTCAGGTGAGGCTCCCTCCTTTCAATGGTGGGGAATGAGATTCGAGACAGACCAAAGTGCCGCATCTCTCTGGACCCTGTGACTGGTTCAGAAATGGCCCAAGACCTAAGCCAGTTGGATCAAAGAGAACTTCATTACTTTCCTAGGAGATAAAGGAAAGGCTATCTGCTATTTCCTGGTTGGTTTGCACCTGGAAGGTTATACAGCTGTGCGAGGTGCCATCACATAGAGCCTGAGACTGAGTCCAACAAACAAAGCCAGAGATGGTAGAAGCAGAAAAATGGGTCTTGATGACCTGGTTTGAGCCCTTCTATCTCTCCATGCCTTTTCAATCATGTGAGCCAAAAAAAGCCTTTTTTCCATAAACCAGTTGAGGTCAGATTTTGTTTTCTATAATCCAAAGAGACCTAAATGATATAGCAGGTAAACAGAGATGACCACCAGACTGTCTCTTTCTGTATAGTCTCTGTGAAGAGTTCTTCCTGCAGGGCTAACAGTCTTCCATTTGGAGAGAAGAATGAGTCACAGGTGGGCACAATACATTTTCTGTACACTGAGAAAGAACCTACTTTCAATATAGGAGGCCAAATAGTCATGAGTGGCTTAAGGATTTAGGCGCTATGTGTTTGCAGGTAACTCTGGGCAATAATGAACTCTGTCATGTCACATGAAACCAACAAGGAAGAACCTAAAAAGCATAATTTTATTTCCAGGCCCACACAACAGTAAACTCCACAGCGTTCTATCACAGCAAATTTCTGAAAAGTGAACAAAGTGTGATTTTTCCAAATATCTAAAACTGCTGTAGCTTTAATTCTTTTCTTGCTTTGTCATCTTACACTGTTAACGGTTTTTTCCTGCGGAAGTATATGTACTAAAAAACTTTGCTTAACCTGACCTTTTCCCCGCCCAGGACCAAGACACATGGAGCACTGCCATCTTGCATGGTTCCTGGATGCAAGACAAACGTTACTGTACATTTTTCTGAGGAACAAACCAACTTCTACCCAAGAAGAGTGAACATGACACTAAACAAGCAGCAGTTGGCAGGTCTGGGAGTTATGAACTGTTCCATGAATCACATTTAGCAAACTAATGATTAGCTTCCACTTATTCAGGCTCTGTAACCATAGGAATATTGTGTAACATTACAGAGAGGAGAGTCAAATTACAGCCAGGCTAAAGGGCTTTTTATAGCACTGATGAGGCAAGGCTCATAACTTGAGCACGTCCATTTTAATTCATTTTATATCCAAACTAAATTGAAGACAGCCTCACAAGCTACCCCATTCTCAGAAAGTGCTGCCGATGTCCACACCTCCCTTCTGTCAGTGCTCCCCTCACTAACTAACAGAGAAGCCTCCTGGTAGTATCTGAACAAGATGCATAGCTGTAATGTAAAATTTTCTTCAGAACTCCGTACTTTTCTGCCTACCATGTCATTTGACCATTGCAGTGCTTAGTAAAGCTGACATAAACTAGAGGAGCAATCCAACAAACAAAAAAGCATTCTGTGGGTAGAACGAAATGAGTGTATTTCCTCCTCTACCTACTCGAGCACAAATTTGGAAAAACAGGAGACAGACTAGAAGCAGTGGTGACAAGGGGAGGTGGTCTTAGAACTATCACCCTGGGTCAATCCAAAGATCCATCTCGTACACTGTTGTGTTGCTGACAAAAACACTAAGGACCTTCTGGAGGAAATGATTAGGAAAGTCACCTGTGTATTCTAAATTTCCTAATAACACATTATAATTTTTTCTTTAACTGAGAAGGTAATATAAGCACAAAATAAAAAAATAATTCAAGCAAAACAAATAGATATACATTAAAAAGGTTCACCTTTCCTCCGCTTGGGGCAACTGCTAATATCAGTTGTATACCATCTCCAACAGTATATGCATGAACAAGCAAAATATGAATACACACATCTTTGTAAAAACACAAACAGAAGCACACTATACATGTCATTCTGTTCAGTGTTATTTTCATTTAACAACAGCTTAAGAAATTGTTCCATATCAGTACACAAATATATCTACTTCACAGTACTTTGTTGTGCCATAGTTAAATGTCTCATTTATGGAAATTAAGATGGTTCCCTGCTTTTGCTATAATAAACAATATTTTTACATGTCTTACCTGTAGAAAAAAATTCCTCAAAATGGAATTTCTGGGTCAAAACTATGTGCATTTTAAATTTTGAAATACATTGCTCAACTGCCCTTCAGAGGATGTACCACTATATTTAAGTATGAGAGTGACTCCTTCACTAGATCCTTGACATCATATGATTGAATGCTGATCCTAGCCAATCTGATGGGTTTACGAAAAGGTTATCTGACTGTTTTAATTTGTACTTTAATAAGAAGGAAGATTGAGAATTACCTCCTGTGTCTGGATTCAATCTACTGAGGTACAGTCACACTTCAAGTCTACTGAGGTACAGTCACACTATTTCCATAATTTTTAAAAATATTTTACTTTTCAATTACAGTTGGCATACATTATACAGTTTAAGGTGTACACAGTTCCATCATTTTTGACAAATATAAATAATCATGTAACTATCACCACAATCAAGATATAAATAATTTCTATCACCTCCAAAAATTAGACTGTGCCCCTTTATAGTCAATCCCTCTCCCTTCACCTCCAGCCCTCTGGAACCACTTTCACATAGAGTACTTTTGAAATTCATTCAAATTGTTTATGTACCAGTAGTTCAATCTTTTTATTACTGAGTAGTATTCAATTTTATGGATGCACCACAATTTATTTATCCCTTCACTAGCTGATGGGCATTTACATTGTTTCCAATTTTGGGCTGTTATGAATAAAGTTGCTATAAATATTTGAATACAGGTCTTTATATGGACATTTTCATCTCTTCGGTATACACCTAGCAGTGGAACTGGGTAAAAATAAATAAGAGTGGGTCATATAGTGAGTACATTTAACTTTAGCAGAGACTGCCAAATTATTTTCTAAAACAGCTGAGCCATTTTGCATTTCCACTAGCAATGTGAGAATTGCTTCACATCTTCATCAACACATGATATAGTCATATGCTTAAAATTGAAATTTTAGCTATTCTAGTAGGCATGTAGTGATAACGCATTTTTTAAATTTGCTTTTCCTTAATGACTAATGATGTTGGTCATCTTTGCATGGGCTTTTTGGCCATTTGTATATTTTCTTTGGCGAGCTGTTTGTTAAAATCTCTTGTCCATTTTAAAAACTGGACTGTTGTGTTCTTACTAAGTTGCAAGAGTTATTTTTAATATATTCTGGATACAAATCATTTATTAGACATATTTTGCAAATATTTTCTCCTGATCTGTAGTTTGTTTTTTTCTTTTTCTTAATATCTTTTAAAGAGCAGAAGTTTTTTATTTGAATAATGTTCAGTTTATCAGATTTTTCTATTATGGTTCCTGCTTTTGTGTTTCATCCAAGAAATCTTTTCTAAACCAAGGTCACAGAGATTTTCTCCTGTTTTCTTCATGAAGTTTTATAGTTTTAGCTCTTAGGTTTAAAACTATAATCCATTTCCAGTTAACTCGTATGGGTTCTATTTCTGGTTTCTCTTGTCTGTTCCATTGACCTATATGCCATTCCTTATAGTCTTGCTTAAAATACCATATGGCCGTGCTTTCCTGCATTTAAACAGTTGTATTTTGTTTTCTGTCTTTTTCTAAAATCTTCTTGAACCTTTTATATCTCCATTATGTCTTTGAGGAAGAGGTTTATGTAAGTATGCTATGCTCTACATAAACAAGACCTCTTTTCATTTATCCTACAGTTAAGGCTTTCGAGACTAGATTTAAAACTTAGCAATATGAGAATAATTTACTCCAGCAAATTATTTTCTCATTATGAAAGTCATACATCTTTAAAAAACTTTAATCACTTCCTATATCCAGTATCCAAAAATCCAGAGTACCTCTAGCCACTTCTGTTCTGACATCTAAAACCTCTTACTGTCTCAAGGCCCTGTCTTAGGAGAACCTACCTGAAACCTCCCAATAAGCAAAAGTGATGGTGGAAAGAGCAGAGAGGAAGGTGAGTTTCTATCTGAGGTCTCCATCCTCTAGGAACTCAGAATTGTG